CTCTTCAGCGCCGGTGATGATGATGTCGTCGACATAGATGCCGACCAGTAGGATGTTGCGTTCGCTGCCTCGCCGGTACACCACCGCCTCGTGCGCGCTCTGCTTGAAGCCCATCTTCTTGAGTGTGACGTCGAGCTTCGTGTTCCAGGCGCGCGGTGCCTAGCACAGGCCGTAGAGTGCCTTGCGCAAGCGGTACAGCTTCCACTCTTCTCCTGCGATGACATAGCCAGGTGGCTGGCACACTAGACCTCCTCCTTGAGGTCGCCATTGAGGAAGGCGGACTTCACGTCCATGTGGTGGACTTGCCACCCCTCTTGAGCCGCCAGTGCGAGGAGGACATGGACTGACTCCATGCGCACCACGGGGCGAAAGCATCGTCGTAGTCGATCCCCTTCTGCTGGACAAAGCCGCGCGCTACTAGCCGCGCCTTGTGCTTGATCACCGCGCCCAGCTCATCCTTCTTGAGCTTGAACACCCACTTTAGGGTGATGGGGCGGTGGCCGTCAGGCAGTGGCACCAGCTCTCAGGTGCGGTTCTGCTCGATGAACTTGAGCTCCTGCTCCATCGCTGCCCGCCACGCCAGATCACCCTGCGCCTCAGCATAAGTGGTCGGCTCACTGGCGTGCGTCGGATGTAGCTGGGCGAAGAGCCACTTGGGCTGGTCCGGTGGGGACTGCTCTCCGAGGATGTTTGACACCATGAGGTATCGGAGGGGCTCATCGTCGTAGTAGGCGTCCAGGTGGTCTTCATCATCCTCAAGTGGCATCGCGTACTCGACCTCCTACCGCCCTGCGTGCGCTGGTGTTGCAGCGGGCGAGGTAGAAGATGCCGAGGAGGTCGGCTGGTGTGTCAGAGAGGTCGGCTGATGCGCCAGAGAGGTCAACTAGTGCGTCGGAGAGGTCGGCGCTGCTGTCGATGAGCTCTCGACCACCACCGATGGACTGCCGACCACCGCCGATGGGCTTCCAAGCGCCCCCGGATTTGGTGATGGCGAGCGCAGCGGAGCTGGTGAAGAGGTCGACGCTGGTGATGAAGACCCAGTCATCGATGAGGATGCACCTTGTGCTCCCTCAGCACCTCCCGCCCACGCGTACTCGACGGTGAAGTCATGGAGCTCGGTCGCCAACCCGTCGTCCACCACCTTGTCCCATGCCTAGCTATGTCCTTCGTCGAACATGATGTCGCGAGCCACGCGCATGCGTCGTGTCATCGGGTTGAGCACGCGGTAGGTCTTAGCCCCCTCTACATAGCCGATGAAGACCCCTAACGAGCTACGATCATCGAGCTTGCCGACGTGGTTCAGCTCCTGGACAAAAGCGAGGCAACCGAAGACACGCAGGTAGTTGACCGCCGGCTTGAGCCCATGCCAGGCCTCATACGGCGTCTTGCCATCGAGTGCACTGGTCAGCGAGCGGTTGAGCAGGTGTACGGCGGTCATCACGGCCTCCCCTCAGTAGACCACTGACATACCGCGCTGCTTGAGGAGGGTGCATGCCGCTGCCACCATCGTCTGATTACGGCATTCGACCACACCGTTTTGCTACGGTGAGTAGGGTGTGGAGTAGCGGCGCTGAATCCCGTCATCGGTGCAGTACGCCACGAACTCGCTGCCATTGTCCATGCGGAGCACCAGAAGCTTGCGGTCGCACTCCTTCTCCGCGGCTGTCTGGTGGCGCTTGATGGCGTCTGCAGCTGCAACCTTGGAATCGAGTGTAGGGGACCATGACGCCTAAGAGGGGGGGTGAATTAGGTAACTTAAAATTCTAACTCTAAACAATGGCCTCTTTTTCTAACCTTAGCAAAACCTATGCAAAAGATAAACTATCTAAATGTGCAACTACGGTTTTGCTAGTGTGTTGCTATCTCTACTGCAAAAGGAGTAATACAATCAATGTAAATGCAGAAACTAAAGAGCAAGGTAGAGATATGCAGACTTCCATCGACGACTCTGGTATTTTTACCGAGGTATCGAGAAGCGTGCAAGCTTCCCCTAGTTCTCGTTGGAGCCCCTCGCAAGGGCCAAGCTCTCGGTCGGATAACTCTGTGGATAGCCTCAGGCCTTCCCCACGCGCAAGTGGGTCTCCGACGTGCCTTTCAGCAAGCCTCACCGGATGCTCCCCGCCGTCTTCACTATCAAGCTTCCAGCCGAAATGCCGCGGGCCTTGTTCCCTTCGGTATACGGTGGTGGCCACACCACAACCGCGGTTGGTGTGATCTCGCAAGACTACAAGCCCCTCCGATGTACAACAATGGTGCGCGCAAGCACCGAGTGGTAAGAGGTATGCAACCCTCACTAAACACTAGGCCTAAACCTAGAGCAAGCGTATAAGCGGTGGTCTAATCAACCTAAGTACTTCGCAAAGCACCTACGCTAATCACCTAATGAACAACTAAGCACTATGCAAGTGGAGATCACTAAAATGGTGTATCAACACCCTTGATATGTTTCCTCAGCTCCACACATATCATTTGGCCGGTTGGGGGTTGTATTTATAAGCCACACTGAGAAAGTAGCCGTTGGGGACAAAATCCCGCTTTTTTTGCTACTGACCGGACGCTGATCACGTCCTGACCGGACGCGTTCGGTCATCCCAACCGTTAGAGCCACGATCAACTGATCGGACGCTGCCAGCGTCCGGTCACATGCCACCGGATGCGTCCGGTTGCAATTTCACCGCTCTGGAACCTTTCTGTACTCGATCGGACACTGCAGTTCTGCGTCCGGTCAATTTGCCGCCAGTGTCCGATCCAGCGTCTGGTCGTTGCTGCTGACGCCTGTTTGCCGAGCCTCTTGATCGGAGCGTCCGGTCACTTTCCGCCAGCACCCGGTCCAGTGTCCGGTCACCTCTGTGAGCTTGTTTCTTCGTGATCTTGCGTACGGCTTGGTTCCTATCTTCGTGCTTGGACTTTGCTTAATATCTTGGGTCTTCTCTTGTGCTTCTAGAGTCTTGCTTATGGTGTTGGTCATCGGATCATCACGTCGCCTTCGTGCAAGTCATGTCTTGCACCCTATTGGACTACAAAACAATCACTTGCAAATTCATTAGTCCAATTTGGTTGTGTTGATCATCAAACACCAAAATCCAAAGTGAATGGGCCTAGGGTCCATTTTCCTTACATCGAGCAGCACGACCCACATGTAGCTAGTAGCGTCATCGACGAGCAGTAGGAAGTAGCGTCGACCTCCAGGAGTGGCCGGTGACACTGGACCGTAGAGGTCACCGTGCACCAGCTCAAGCTGCTCAGTGGCGCGGTAGGAGGCTTGATGTGGGAAGGGCCGACACTTCAGCTTGGTCACCACATAGGTGTCGCAGAGCTGCTCGACGTGGTCGACGCAGGGCATGCCGCGGACCATCTCCTCCTTGCTGAGCTACTTCAGGGCGTCGAAGTGAAGATGCCCGAAATGCTCATGCCAGCGCCACGCCTCATCATCCCGGCACACGGCAAGGCAAAGGGGGTGCACCACCTGCACATGAAGCACGTAAAGGCGGTTGCTTCCCCGGTTCACCTTGGCGAGAAGGCGTCGACTTCTATCCCAGATACGCAGCACGCCGTCCTCGATCTCCACCCGCGAGCCATTCTTGTCTAGCTGCCCGACACTGATGATGGAGTTTCTCAAGGCCGGGATGTAGTACACGCCGGTGAGGAGGCGGTGCTCTCTCGTCTTGGCCTTGAAGATGATCGAGCCGACTCCCTTGATCTCGACGGCGGAGGTGTCACCGAACTTGATGGAGCCCTTCACGCTGGAGTCCAGGTCATAGAAGAACTCGCGCCAACCAGTCATGTGGTGCGTGGCACCGGTGTCGAGGTACCAGCCGTCGATCTTGTCATTGTCTGTGCCTTTGCCGAGGAAGGTGTGGGCACGCGGTTCGTCGAGGTGGAGATGTGCGGAGCCAGCCGTTGTGGACAGGGGAAAGCTTGGACCTTTTCACCCCCTCCCCTGCTTCTTGCTGTGGCTCGACGCACCCATGCACTAGGAACAGAGCAGCATCCTCCACCCCTACTTGCGCGACGTGAGCCTGCCCGCCGCGGCGTGGAAGAAGGCGGCAGTCCTTGGCCCAGTGGCCAGACCTGCCACAGTTGTTGCAGGTGTCATCCCGGGTCGCCTTGCGCTCGTTGGTGGCACTGCCTGCCTGACCCCGGGGCCCTTCTTCTTCTTCTTGCCGCCATGTGGTCGCCGACGACGCTCCTTGGAGGAGCCGGATGGTCCAGATCCTTCCTTCTTCTTCTTCTCAAGGGCGCGCCACTGCTCCATCATATACAACAACTTGCCTCCGGCGACGCTCAGCTCGGCGTGAGGCCCCTCTTCACGGTCCAGCACCGCCTTGAGCCTCCCGGTCACGTCCTCGATGGTGAGCCGCTCGAAGTCGAGAAGCGTCTCGATCGACATGACGATCTGCGCGTACTTCTTCGGCATGCAGCGAAGGAATTTCTCCACCTCGCGCTCCTCCGTGAGGTCGGTGTCGCCATTGCGCACCATCTGCTCCATCAGGTTGGTCAGCCGCACGGCGAAGTCCTCGACTTGCTCACTGGGCTGAAAGGCGAGGCCTTCCCACTGCCCTCGAAGGCGCTGCAGCGTTGCCCGGCGTACGCGATCATCGCCGACACGTGCTGCGGCGATCACTTCCCACGCCAGCTTCGCCGTAGTCTTGTTGGCGAGGGAAGAGCCGATCTTGGTTGGGACGGCGGCGCACAGGAACTCCAACGCCCGACGATCGTCGTCGTAGCTATCACCGCCGACGTGTACCGCCTCCCACAACCACTGAGCCTGCAACTTGACCTTCATCAGCAGGCTCCACTCGTGGTAGTTCACGGCTTGACTCTGTGCGTCCCTTGAGTTGATCAACTTGCTGGTAATGGCCTCTCTCTCTCGATC